TGAACAAAACCTGCCCTATAATTTGCTTCCCAAAGATGAGAGGAATTGTCATTTTAAGTTTCCTCTTCAGTCACAGTTTTCAGCTTGCATGTTCTTGGGGGACCATTTTGACAGTAGATATTCTTTGTCCCTGTCTCTCTCTGTGTGTGCACGTGTGTTTCTGTATGTGTGTGCCTTCATGACTTCTGTTTTTGATAGACTTGAGTTTAACAGACATTGTGGAAAAGATTTCTTTCCATAGGTAGCTTCATCAAGTTAAGATGTTCCTAAAAATGCTGTTAGCTGTAACACAACTACCAAAGGAAACTTCTGTTGATGGAGAACTTGCTACTTAGAGCCATAACAAGATAATGAGACTCAGCAAGACAGAAATGCAATACAGTATGGAAGGAGAAGATCGAAGAGTGCGAGTCTTGCTGAGATAATTGAGCTATTATAGGATATTGACCACCAGTGGGAATAAGCCCATATCCCACTAAGCATCTCAGTACATATTGTTTATATCACCTTTCCCCCCTTCTAATGTAACATTAGAGTTGAATTCTCCTGCTGGTTTTAATTGCACGCTAAGCCTATTACAGTTTTTTCCTCCTGAATTGGGGACAACCCACTGTTATTCCTTCAGTAGCTATGAGGTTGGCAGTCATGAAGGAGAGAGAGACAAGAGGTTATGTCAAAAGAGGAAAATTTAAGAAAATATGAGGAAAAAACACTGTATTCCTGGTTTGCCACAGTGAGGAAGTAGACATAAATGATGATGAAGTAGTATAAAGTAGAAGACTCATGATCATCTTGAATAAATCTGTGCTGACTTTTATACTGGGAACAATCCTTATGTATTTTTCTGAATGAACCCTGAGAAAATGAATGGGATTCATGCAATTAACCAATTCCTCGGATATGTACAGGGAAAAGCTTCAGGCAAAGGTGTTTCTTAATCTTGTTTCTGAGCTGTTTCTCATATTCTGCTTAATTTTGACTGTCATCCTAAACTGAGTTATACCCTTCTAATCCCATTATCTTAAATGGATTTATGAGGGTGTAAATTTGCTTAGGGGAACATTGCTTTCAATATTTATTTATTTAGTATTTCATTTATACCTTGCCTTTGCTCCCCAATGGGGACCCAAAGCAGCTTACAACATTCTCCATTTTATCCTCACAACCACCCTGAGAGGTAGGTTAGGGTGAAAGTACTGTACTACTAGCACTTTGAAAGTACCTGTACTACTAGAACTTTGAAATCGTGATGGCTTTAACTGCTTTATGTTTTTAAATACTGTGAGTTTTATTGTATTACAAATAGGTTGTAAGCCGCCCTGAGCCCGCCTCAGCGGGAAGGGCGGGATAAAAATCAAAGGAAATAAATAAGTGTGATTAGCCTAAGGTCACCCAGCAAACTTCCATGCCAGAGGGGAGCTTCAAACCTAAGTCTTCCAAATCCTAGTCTGACAATATAACCACCATGCTGCTTTTCTCCTTCCTGAAAGATCCTCAAGGTGGCTCACATAAAATAATAAAGAGTAATTAAATTCAGGCTGCTTCTGTCTTTGCTCTTAAGTGGCAATCTTCTGTACCCCTATTTTTACATCATTATGTGGGTTTTGGTCCCCTTTCACCATATCTCACTTCTCACAGCTGACAACTGATGTCAAGGAATACCAGGCTGTGTGCTCCTGTATTTCTTACTCCAGGTTTCACAAATCTTCTTACCAGGGCTTTTTTTGTAGAAAAAGCCCAGCAGGAACTCATTAGCATAATAGGCCACACCCAACAGCAGAAACACATTAGCCTATTAGGCCACACCCCTGACAGCACCTCATTAGCATATTAGGCCACACCCCCATGTTATCAGAAGTGTGGTCATTAGGCTTACCAAGTGCCGGCGGGGGATCCACATGTCTTTTCAGGATCCCTGCCACGGGGATGGCGATACGCATTGCACTGCCGTCGCCAGGATGTGACACTACGCGTCACTCTGGCAACGGGGCTGTTTGGGGTCCCGTTGCCAGAGCGACGCGTAACGTCACACCCTGGCGACGGCGGGTGCAACGCGTGTCGCCATCCCACGGCAGGGATCCTGTAAAGACATGCGGATCCCCCGCCGGCACTTGGTAAGCCTAGTGGTCATCCAGCCACACCCACCTTTTGCTTCTTATTCTGTTTACCTTGTTTGTTGTCAAAACCCAGGGCCTTTTTTTGTAGCAGGAACTTTTTTGCATGTTAGGCCACACACCCCTAATGTAGCCAATCCTAATGAGTTTCTGATGTTGGGTGTGACCTATTATGCTAATGAGTTCCTGCTGGGCGTGGCCAACTCGGGAGCCAGCCGGAACTCCGTTCCTGTGCGTTCCTGCCCCAAAATAGCCCTGCTTCTTACTGAGGCAGGTCAGACAGGGAAATGAAAAGTGTATCAGCTGGATATTAGAAGGCTGCTATCCTCTGCTACTTATTGCTGCTGCCTAAAATTGTTCTGAAGAATAATACATTTTAAGTAAGCTCTGCAGTATGTAAATTATATTGAATAAAATGTTATAAAATGTCTTGAATCTGCATGTTAACATTTGTTGGTCAGCATGACAGAGGCAAATCTTCAGGTGAGACGCCTTCTGGGAAATTAGTAATGCCTTCCTAAAGAGAGTTACACCTTTCTAAGCCCAAAGACTTCAGTGGATTTAGCAGAGTGCTTCCCCCTCTCCCCAAATTATCTTGAGTGGCAAAGAATGAGAGCAGGTTGCTCCTATTCTCTCAGCCCGTGTGTCAGTCCTGGATGGAGAGGAAAGAAGCTCCCCCCTCCCGCACCCAAAACTAACAAAATGGGCTGACAATTTGGGCTGCAGGAGAAGAGGAGCCATCTGCTTCTGATCTCTGCAGTCCACGCTAACAGGTGGGGGAGAGCGGAAGAGAAGCAATCTGCTTCTTTCCTCCTTAAACTGAGAATTTGGGAGGAAATAGTGATCTGCTTCTCCACCCCTCCAAATTATTGTGGTTGGAGGGGGATCTGGTCCTCGTCTCAGCTCAAACTCTCAGTTGGTAGGAAAAAATGGATTGCTTCTTTCCCCTGCCCAAAGCTGACATATTGGGCTGCTGAGGATATAGGGTTGCCAGGTCCAGGTTGGGGGACACCTGGAGATTTTGGGGAGTGGAGCCTGAGGAGGGCAAGGTTTGGGACATAATGCCACAGAGTCCAACCTCCAAAACGGCCATTTTCTTCCAGTGAACTGATCTTTTATCAACTGGAGATCAGTAATAATGGTGGGGGATCTCCAGCCTCCAACCTGGAGGTTGGCAACCCTATGAGGACAGGAGCAGATAGCTGCTGTTTTCCTCAGCCCAAACTACCTGTTTCAGGTGGGGAGAAAGGAGTAAACTGGGTTAGGAAGAAGAGAAGGGGAACCAGCTGGGCTTCTGGTTATACTCACCATTTGCTGCATCTCAGCAAGTCTGGGAGACCAAAAGGGCTGACCCAGATGATCTCTGGAATCTATTCCTGATCCCTCCTCCCCCAAATGCTTTGGTGAGCACACAGTAAAAACATTTTCCCAGCAGGAGATCAGAAGCTGACTCCCAGCTGATCTCGCGTGAGCTGGGAGTCCTGCTCTGGAGGCTGTAAGCAGCCTGGTCCAACAGATAAGGTGAGAAGAAATTGCAGACAGCCAAATGGCTTTCAGTTAATTGGCTCCCTGACTTGCCAGTGGTGGACCAGTCATGAACTGAAGCAGCAGTTGCTCAAGCGTCCTTAGTTGCTTTAAGCATTTTTCTTCCAGTTCAGTTCCGGTATCAGAATAGAAGCTGGAGGAAAACACTTCAAGGAACAGAAAACAGAAAGGAGGCGAGGACAGGGTTTCACTCCCCTCACCAGTATCATATAAGGTTGCTTTCAACCATACTGTTGAAAGAAAGAAAAAGAAATAGTGTTACTTCAGTGTTCAAATCCTTGTTACTCAGGTCTTTGAATGACCTCAAGTTGGTCTTTGCCTAAGGCGAAAACTGAAGAACAAATCAAAGATAAGTAATATCCGTGGAAGATGATATAAAACCCACAAATTCACCTATGGATTCTTCACCTTTCAAACATCTCACAGTTTGTTTCTGCTGTGTTTCTACTTGATCATCCACACTGAAGATTATCCATACCTAGTATACTCACATTGCCATCCCTTAAGAAGAGAAGAGATTGGATTTATACCCCACCCTTCAGTACCTAAAAAAGTCTCAGAGCAGCTTACAATCTCCCCTCCTCTCCCATCCCCACCCCACGCCACAACAGACACCCTGTGAGGTAGGTGGGGCTGAGAGATCTCTTTCAAGAACTGCTCATAAGAGAACAGCTCTGAAAGAACTTGTAATTGACCCAAGGTCACAGCAGCAGCTGCATGTGGAGGAGTGGGGAATCAAACCCAGTTATCCCAGTCTGTGCTCCTAACCACTACACCAAACTGACTCTTTAGCAGAGTTACGCCTTTCTAAGTGCATTGAAGTCAATGGGCATAGAAGAATGTAATTTTGCTCAGGGTGTCATAGTTAGTTACTTTGAGCTTTTGTGTTCGTGATTTTTTTTAACTGAAATATTTCTTCGTAACTAGAGTCCTACGTACAATATTCAACATCTTGAATTATTTAACGTACATTGCATGACTGTAACAAAAGACTTCTGTGATGCATACATAGGAGAAAAGTTAAGACTGGATCAGGAACCTTAACTCAGAACTTATTGGCTTGTCTGTGATTAAATTTTTGACCAAAACAATACTGCTGTGCAGAAGCCTTAGGCAACAGAGTTATTCTGATTATGAATAAGCTGGTTGTTGATTTGGTTCTCAGACTAGACAAATCTTTTATCTTTTCGTGCTTACTGGAAACAGCTGCCCAATCAGCAAGCAGATAAACTATCTGTTACCTAATTTCATCTGTCTAGACAGTGCTTCATTCTTTTTCACAATCTTTACTTTGCACAGTAGGTATTGATACATGCAGATTTTTGCTTCTTTTTGTATTAGGTACTGGAGATATAGTGAAGATATGAGAACTATGGATCCTGGTTATCCAAAACCAATCACAATCTGGAAAGGTATCCCAGAATCTCCTCAGGGAGCCTTTGTCCACAAAGAAAATGGTATGTATTTTCTTGTAAATGTTCATGCACATTAATAAACCCTGATTCTCATCAGCCTGTATCCAACCATGCAGTTCCATGGGCTAAGTTTATTATAAAAGGAGCCAGCAATTTCTGCCAGTTCCCCCTCCCGTGGCTTCACATTGAGCCTTTCTGAATTCTATTCTTGGAACTCAGTGATCTTTCAGGAACAGGGTCAGGGCAGAGTTGGGGGGTAGTTTGCCATGGGAGGGCAGAATCCACATAAATTATGTCCTCTTTTAAAGAAAACTTGTCCTTAAGTGCCCTTTGGAACATATAGTTGGATACAAGCTGCCATTTTTAATTTCTCCTTTATACAAACTCCTTGGTTATCTCAGTTTGTGCTGTTTTGTACCCATATTTTCTGTACAAGAAACTCCTTCATTCTTCTTTTTAATCATTGGAATGTTGAACAGTCCCCGACATGGCAAGCTGTACATTCCATGGTGCCTGGTAATATGTTTTCTGGGGACTACCTGCCTCTTTGCTTCCTGATTTCTTACACACACCTCCATTATCCCTTTTCATGTTCCCATCTTCTGCATCATTCTTTGCTCTGTTTAGGCTCCCTTTTTCAGTTTGTTTACCTTTCACATTCTCTCCTTTTTCAGTTTGTTTACCTTCCACCTTCTCTCCTTGCCCCTTCTCTGTCCCTCTTTCTCTTGTGAGCCACTCAGTCATCCACCCTTACCCCACACTATTTCTCCTGCTGACTTTGAGATGTACTAAAGATGATGTGAAAGCTGATATGATGCAGTTGAGATGATGAGATTGTGGGGGAGGAGCCAAACTTTAGACATTGCCCACCAAGTCCCAGCAATAGCTGCAACTTAAAGGGTAAGGCAGGTGAGCTCATAGTTTGGTTTTGTGGGTCTTCATTTGGGGCATATGTTTGCTTGCCACTCTGCCACAACAGCTCTAGCATCACACCAGTCTAGCGAGCTATGTTTCCTTTGTGGAACCTTCAGACTCTTTGTGATTGGTCCTGTTGCCATCATAGCCATTTTGTGGTAGTATCTACTGCCTTGTCTTAACATTCCAAAAGGGAGTGCAGGATCAATAAGGTTGGGAACCTATAACTATGGATCCTGACCCTCTGATAGATGTCAGGTTGCCAGGTCCATTGGAGATGCTGGTGGGGGGATCGAGGGACATTCTGGGAGATGGAAGCATTGCCCCCGACATGCCAACATCACCAGAAGTGATGTCATGTGCCGTGCCTATGTCACCCAGAAGTGATGTAGGCACATTTTTGGGCAAAACTATAGTAAAATGACCCTCAAATTATAGAGTTTTGCCCCCAAACCAGAGTGTCACCCCCAACATCACTGACATGCCTATGTCACCCAGAAGTGATGTAGGCACGTTGATGGGGCCAACACTCTGATTTTTGGGCAAAACTATAGTAAAATTACCCTCTAATTATAGAGTTTTGCCCCCAAACCAGAGTGTCACCCCCAACATCACTGACATGCCTATGTCACTTCCACGTCACACAACATTGCTGTTGGGGGAGGAATTTTCTCCCACTGGCCAACTGGCCAGCAGCAGGAAGGAGGCCACAAAACTGGGTAATTCCCCGCCCCCAACTGGGGAATGGCAACCCTAGGCAGATGGTGCCATATCATTAACATAAAGTGGATATTAGCTCTCTGTCTGAACTATCTAGCAAAGGGTGAAGCTTTCTCAATTCTCCCCCCCCCCCAATGTCTAGCTTGTAGTCACTTAAAACAGTATTTCTGTTTACCTTTCCTCTGGCTAATCACAGTACTTCTTAAAACCAAATGCAGGTGATTCTGGGGCAGAGCAGCACTAAGCTTAAGCTCCCTGTACTGTAGGTACAGACCACAGAGTTGGATCCTATCTAGTGTGAATGCAATGGCACTCATGAAAGTAAACTTTCATGCCCCTCCCCCCAGTGAAATCTATTGCACCACTGAAGGCTGGTTCAAGTGAAATAGGGTGTGAAGTGAGAATCTGTATTGGGAGGAGGAACCAGGAAAAAAGCACCTTCCATTTTCACTGGTGGAAATGTCTTCCACTTGCATAGAATATGGCTAGAATCCATTCTGTTTGGTGGTATAATCTCTCCATCATCCAATAAGGGCCTGTTCCAGTTCCAATCAAGAACAGCTTACTTAGGAATTAACTGGAACTTCAGGACTGTGATCATTTTCTCCAATAGAATTCTGATCCAAGGTCTGCAAAGCCACACAAAATCTCAAAGGTGGGGGACCCACTACTTCTGGATTCATTTTAATTTAGTCAAGATTACCATATGCTAACGCTGAATAGGTTGTGCCTTATCATACAGTTTGCTATAGTGCACCCAATCACAGCTTGGGCCATTGATGAGATCTTCACACAGCACGTTGAGCCAAAATGATAGCTCAGTAGCCATGTGAAGTAGATCTAAGTTTACATCAAAGGTAATTTAAATATAGATAGATTTGTGTGCAAGGCTATAGCTTCAGTGTACGTAATTCAGTACCTGATGTCTTGGCCTAACATTTTGGCCTCCATATACTGTGGTGTATGTCTGGATGTTGCTGGTTTCCATTGTATGCATGTTAATTCCTGCCCTTGGGCTGCTGGCAATTTGATGGTATAGTCTTTAATTGCATGACTTTTTGATGCCTTTGAGGAAGAGAGAAAGAGAAGTGGCTGTAACCAGTTTCAATTGCTGTGTGCCTCCAGGACTGCATATGTGATTGATTTATCAGAGATTGATTTTTTCTTTCTTTTTCCCGCTTCTTTCTCCAATCTCTAATGCTATCTTATTTTCATTTCCCTGTAAAAGATATAAGACATTTTCCTCTCTCGTTAAGAGTATTTATTCCTTCCTTTGGCTCAAATAACTAATTGCTGCAGAAAGCATTTTTTAAAGAATATGCTTAATCGCTTCCTTGCCTTGAGTCTGTTTCATCCATCAGCAGAAGTTCTTTTCCTGAATCAGGCAGTTTGGCTGAAGGATTTTTTAGATTTCCTTTTCATAGCAGGAAAAGAGTGCAGGCAGATGACATTCTTACTCACATTTGCATCAAAAATAGCAACCTTTGTGTGCATCTATAGCTGTATATCTATGTATGCAGCTTTTTAAAGTAAAGATGGATATATACTTGTGTCCAAATATCAAAGAGTAGATACAAATTGTAAATAAATGTAGGGCATGATCTAAAGTATACTGAGCTGTAACACGCATACAGTTTGACATGTATAGGGCCCATGTCATTCTCTTTAGTTATATGTACATTCAGTTGTGTGTGTGTCTTCTTAAACATACTAATCTTCTTAAACATTTAGTATTCAACTTGCAAGTCATAAAGCACTGGCACAATGATCAGAGTTGCTTTAATGCCATTAGTGCTGATGTAGTGTAGTGGCACCGATTCTATAACATCAATAGAGTTTCATTGCAAACCAAAGTCTATGCCGATGAAACTGATTTAAGGATACTTTAAATGTTACAACAAAAATGCAGGCAGATAAATATTTTGCCATGTCTTTTCTAGAATATCTGAAGAGCATACTTGTATGCAAAAACAGATAGAAATGTCAGTCTTGGAAGTTCTGTTCCTCTTGAGAGGATTTTAATGAACTTTTGGGGCTCAAAACCTGGACAGAGAGTTGGAGGGTGCAAAAAATGTCACAAAAGAACACCTACTACTTTACTACTGCATACAGAGTGATTAAAATGTGGAATTCGCTGCCAGAGGATATCATGATGATTCACAGGAATAAATAGCCTTAAAAAGGGTTTAGATAGATTCATGGAGGGTAAGTCTATCAATGGCTACTAGCCATGGTGACTGAGTGGGGAACTCCACATTCAGAGGCACTAATCCCCTGAATCCCAGAGCCACAAGGCAACATCAGAGGAAGACCTTGGCCTCTATGCCCAGTTGTTGGCCGTCCAGAGGAACTGGTTGGCCACTGTGTGAGACAGGATGCTGGACTAGGTGAACCATTGGTCTGATCTAGCAGGACTCTTCTTATGTTCTCCTTCTTTTATTGTTCACTGTCACCCCCACCTGTTCAGGTGTGTTTTTATTTACCCACAAGATGTTAGAGTAAGGGCAAGAAGTCATAGTTCCTCTCATTCTGATATGATTTCAGACGTCACCTGGGCAATTTGTACTGGCTAAATGGCACCATCAGTAGTCCTATCAGAGAGAAAGTGATGCTTTCTGTCTCATTCTGACCTCTTGTGAGAAGGAGAAAAAAATAAAATCACCAGCTACAGTAGAAAGTGAAATTGCCATTCCCAGAAATTGGGACTGATGCTTTGCCTTTGTTTACATCCTGCAAAAATAGGTGGGAAATTTGGGAGGGTATTTGACTTCAGCCAGGGCTTTTTTGTGACAGTACCAATGAGAACTATAGGCACCTTAATTGGGGGCTGTCCAAAGTCCTGATCCTTGTGTGTAGGGCTGTCCCACTCCACCAGAGAAACTGATAGTGGACCCTCAGGAAAAGTCTAGTGGGGATCTGCAGAGGGAGGGGAATGGTGGAAATTGGCACAATCTTATATATGCATACTGACATTTTAAAAACAAAAACAAAAAAAAGTACTGGGTTCAGCACTACCAGAAAAGCTCAGCCAATAGCACCACTCACTGGCAGCAGTTCTCTGAATGCTTAGAGACAAGTGAATGCCCTTTAAAATTGTATAGGCAGGATCACATTACAGTGGAAGCATGGGGCTTTGTTCTTTCTCTGTAATGTGTGAAGCAGTCTTTAGGTCATACTGAACTCCACAGGTTTCAGTTACTAAAAGACTGGCAGAGCAACATGAGACCTTGACAGACAATAACACTAAGGAGAAAACAGCTTTTCTGGCTCTTTTTTCCCCCCTCAGAGCCAAATGTATGAAATCCTTAGGGCTTTTGGAGAGAAGAAAATAAGTATTGAAAGGTGCCTGGCAAAGCCTGCAGGAAACAATGCTGTGAATTGTTCCCCGAAGTCAGAATCCCTGCATG